GACTTTACTCGAGGTTTAGTGGTTGAGGTTTGTTTTTTTTTTTTTTTTTTTGCTGATGTCACAAAGGTGTTCAATAGGTTTCATATTCCTGGAGGTTTTTGTCACATGGAACATGATTTGGCATTGCTGTAAAATTGGTCAAAGTAGTGTAAACTACAGTTTAGCATTTCTGAGTGACGAAGAATTCACTTCAGGGAAAAAAAATATCTGGTAGAGTACAATATTGGTGGTTATTGCAAGATGAGTAAAGACTTTTTTCATTATATAGTGAAAAACTAAAATCATGATTAAACACCACCAAAAGAAAGCTCTACCTGTCCCAAAAAATGGTATAAAATTCATTTCAGTACAGCGTTGCATAACAGAATAAATGTCAAAGTACCGCAGCGCTGAAAAATGGCCTGGCCAGACAGGGCATTTATCACCCTGGTCTTCAAGTGGTTAACATGTACAGTTTTGAGAAAAGGCAAATTAAGGGTGTGAATGCGGTTCCAGGAGGGCAGTTTTTTAACTATGAAGCTAAGATCAACAACTTGGGTACAGGACCTAAAAACTAATCTTAAAAAGTATTGTTTTACTAAGAGAGTAGATGATGTTTGGAGCAGAATTCCAGCAAAGCTAGTGAGTCAGTCAACAATAAGTGTATTTAAACATGTTTGGGACAAACCTAGATGTATACTAAGGCAAAAACAAACTTGAGCAGACTTGATGGACCACTTGGGTGTTTTATGCCGTCATTATACGTCTCTTTTATGAAGAAATCCGTATCCGTTTTTGACATATATGTGGCATTGCGCAACCATGATTACTCATTACTTAGATTCCGTATAATGTGGTTTGATGAATCCCAGTTCACCTGTGCAATGTTAGATTTAATGTTCTGCCTCAATTTGATTTTTTTTTTTTTTCATATCCATTAGCAGATTAGAAAGCCGCCTTCAATTTTCTATTAGTGGCTTTTTGTAATAAAGACAGTGATTTTGTTCATCTCTTACAGGAAAGACCAAATGCATGATGAAATCCTCAGACTGTGTAATTAGACATCCCGGTGTTTATAGCACTGGTATGGCTATGGTGGTAAGTGTCTGTATTCACAAAATTAAAATGCCTGTTATCACTCTTTAGGTTTATTATAGTACTGCAAATAGAAAATTAACATGA